AGTAGAGATGGGGTTTCACCATGTTGACCAGGATGGTCTCGATCTCTTGACCTCGTGATCCACCCGCCTCGGCCTCCCAAAGTGCTGGGATTACAGGCTTGAGCCACCGCGCCCGGCCTATAATCATACTTAATACTTATATCTACTTAGTTCCATGTAATCTTTCTATATAATCATACAGGTATTGTAGTCGGAACTGTACCGACACATTTAGTGCTGATTTATAGAATCCTTCCATACAACCGTATAGGAGGAATGCCTGGAGCAGTCACAGAACAGAAGCAGTTCACGGGAAAACAGCCAGACCAGGACGAGAACCAAAGACCCAGGCGGTGGCGTCCCTGCCTGAAAGGGCAAACGCCGTATGGCAGGCTTGGATCAGGAGCCTCTCCTCCTGATAAAGGAGTTGTAGCACCTTGCATCCAGTTCCTGTGGAAAGTCGGCCTCAGGCCTGAGATCCTGGAAGTAACTGAGGGAGAAGAACCCTCATGGTGTGACCAGTCGCGGCGGCTGTGCACCCTGTCAGTCTTTTCTCGCTTCTGTGCTGGCTCAAATCATCCTCCCATAAATATCTTAGAGAAGAGCACACGTCTGTCAGCTCCCACTGCACTGGTTTAGCACATCCTTCTATAAGAATCCTTTGAAGTCTCCAGCCTCCAGGTAAGAAGTGTTGCACAACATTTGTTGCACACAGCCCCACCTCCTTGCCTCGGTGACCTAATGGAGGCAGATCCCTTTTCTGCACACAACCCTCTACTACTGCGCATGGCACACCTCTCTGCCGAGGTGATCTAATTGGGTGGCCCTCTCGCTTGCTACTCATGTGATTACGTATGCCCTATTACTAAGCCTATAGATGATGACCTCACTTACGACCTTTCCCTCTGCCTTGTACTGTACCTAATAAATACAGACACTTGTGGACGGTCGGGGCCTCGCCTGTCTCGGCTCATTAAGTGGCGTGGCCCCTGAGCCCAGCTGTCTTTTCCAGTCCTTCTGTGTCTTGTCTCTTTACTTCTTGGATAATGTGCCTCAGCACAGCAACAGGGGATACCCCACGAGGCTGTAGGGCTGTGGCTCTACAACTTGAAACGCTGCTCACCCCCCAGTGGTCTCAGACCTTGACCTCTGGGCCTCAGTGTCTCCCACACCCTTAGGCATCAACGAGAACCAGCGCTCCTCTCATAATCTCTCTCTTTTTTCTTCGCAATGGAGTCTCGCTCTATCGCCAGGCTGGAGTGCAGTGGCATGATCCTGGCCCACTGCAACTTCCGTTTTCTGGTTTCACGCACTACCACGCCTGGCTAATTTTTTGTATTTTTTTAAAGATGGAGTTTCACCATGTTGGCCAGGATGGTCTGGCTCTCTTGACCTCGTGATCCACCCTCCCAGCCTCCCAAAGTGCTGGGATTACAGGCGTGAGCCACCGCCCGGGCTCCTCTCATCACCTTTACATGCTGTACACCCAGCCCGGGCCCCGGGCTGCAGCCCGCTGGCAGCCATCATGGCCCACACCCTTCCACTTCAGACTCCTCCCTTCCCTGCAGCAGGCTGGCTCGCAGGCTTTCTCTGGACTCAGCCTCAATGCAGAGGTGGGCCCACTTGCACCTGGCCTGTAGCCTTTTTCCTGGTACAGAGAACAGATATGGGGCTACAGCGATGTTCTTTCTTGGGAATCTGAGCTTACAAAGGGAACATACAGACTAATGGCCAGGAGTCCCAAGAGTCCAGTGTCTCTATTTCCGGACTGTTTCAAGGTTTTTGGGATCTCCCTTCTCTTTTTTTTTCTTTTTCCATCAAGTTACCTGTTTTCTTCTCTAAGGGCTCTCCCTTCTTCTTTTTGAGACCGTCTCACTCTGTTGACCATGCTGGAGTGCACTGGTGCAATCTCAGGTCACTGCAGCCTTGACCTTCCAGGCTCAAGGGATCCTCCCACCTCAGCCTCCTAAAGTGCTGGGATTACAGGTGTGAGCCTGTAATCCCTTTTTTTATTGTTCTTTTTCCTGTTGTTTGAAAGGACCAGAGCCTATTTCTGGTGTAACCCAGAGAACCCTAAGCAGTCTGCTTCCCTCGTCTTCTTGGCCGGGAGACCTCAGAATGGAGCAGATGCTCAGCACCTCCTGAATGAACAGGTGAAGAGTCAGCTGCACCAAAGACAGTTATCGACAGCATTCACTGTGGGAACTCATGGATGTGGCCTGACTGGTGCTCTCTGAAATGACTCCACTCTGGACTAAACAGCTTAAAAACACTTCTGAACACACATGCAGATCTCACCTTTGTTGCAGAGGAACCCTCTTTCCATCCCATCCTGATGCCCCACACCCAGAATCCCTTACAGCTCCACTCCTCCTTGCCCGGAGCCAGCCGTCAGGTCTGAGTAGTTCATCCCTGCCCACTGTGCTTTCCTTTCCACCTCCCCTGTTGTGTGCCTGGCCTCAGCCTTCACTGCATCACACCTGGATTCTAACTCTGAGCTCCAGCTTCCTCCTGATCGACTGCCACCAGCCTGAGGACAAGCCCACCAGCAGAGTCAGGCCCTGCTCAGGGCAGCTCCTGATCTCCCTTGCCCAACCTCCCTTGGGAGGAATCAGAGGCACAAATTTCTGGGTTTTTTTTTTTTTTTTTTTTCCCCAGACTGAATCTTGCTCTCTCACCCAGGCTGGAGTGCAGTGGCTCGATCTGAGCTCATTGCAACCTCTGTCTCCCAGGTTCAAGTAATTCTCCAGCCTCAGCCTACCGAGTAGCTGGGATTACAGGCGCCCACCACCATGCCTGGCTAATTTTTGTATTTTTAGTAGAGATGGGGTTTCACCATGTTGGCCAGGCTGGGTCTGGAACTCCTGACCTCAGGTGATCCACCTGCCTCGGCCTCCGAAAGCGCTGGGATTACAGGCAGGGGCCACCGCGCCCGGCCAGACGTGCAGATTTCTGATCCCTTTATTGTCTTCCCTCAATCAAATCACACCCATTCGTGACTCCAGACGCAGTAACAATCCCCTCCTGAGGGACAGCTCTCTTGATCAGCCTTGTGCGGCGTTCACTGTGCTATTTCCACGCCTACCACTTCTACACCAAATGTGACTTCTATTACCAAATGCTTCTTTCATACCGTGACAGGACACATCATGACAACCCTTCCATTAGAAGAGTCCTGAGCGGAGCCGGCCCTCTCACCTCTCTCTCCTGGAATGCTCCCTCGCCATCTCCCTCCTCTTCTGTCTTTCCCATTCCCGGCGAGCTTTATCCTGTTCTTCTCGATGGCGTTTCCGACGTTCGTGCTCTCTTTCTTTTTCTTTCACTCTAGCATGCTTCCCTAATGAGAAATAAAGTGTCATGCAAAGAAACCTCACTTCAAAAATTTCATGAGTCTGGATGCAGTGGCTCACGCCTGTAATTCCAACACTGGGAGGCCAAGGCGGGCAGATTACCTGAGATCAGGAGTTCAAGACCAAGCCTGGTCAACACAGTGAAACCCCATCTCTACTAAAAATACAAAAATTAGCTGGGCATCGTGGCGGGTGCCTGTAATCCAAGCTACTCCGGAGGCTGAGGCAGGAGACTCGCTTGAATTGAGGACACGGAGGTTGCAGTGAGCCGAGATTTTGCCACCGATCTCCAGCCTGGGCGACAAAAGCAAAGCTCTTTCTCAACAAGAAAAAAAAAAAAAAGTCTGGGCATGGTGGCTTGTGCCTGTAATCTCAGCACTTTGGGAGGCAGAGGCAGGTAGATCACCTGAGGTCAGGAGTTCGAGACCAGCCTGGCCAATGTGGTGAAACCTCGTCTCTACTAAAAATACAAAAATCAGCCGGGTATGGTGGTGGATGCCTATAATCCCAGCTACTCAGAGAATGATGCAGGAGAATTGCCTGAACCCGGGAGGTGGAGATTGCAGTGAGCCGAGTTCACACCACTGCACTCCAGCCTGGGCGACAGGAGTCAGACTCCATCTCAATAAAACAAAACAAAAAAACTTACATGAAAATGACATTAAATGAAGTAACGAACACCATATATTTAAATAATGATGTTAAATAATCCTGATTTTTTTTTTTTTAAATAGACGGGATCTCGGTATATTGGCCAGGTTGGTCTTGAACTCCTGGGCTCAAGTGATCCTCCATCTTCGTCCTCCCAAAAGTGCTGGGATTACAGGCATGGACCACCGCACCCAGTTGAATCATCAAGATTTTATGTTTAATAAAAAACTTTGAAAATAGAAAACTACCTGCAGTAAGCATCTAATCATAAAGAATGAAGAAAAAACACAATTCTGATATCACTGAAGAGCAGAACCGTAACGTTTGTTTTAAAAGCTTTCTATTCTGAATCAAGTGTAATTAAAATATTAGTTTTATAATTTTAAAAGAACACTATCCATAAAGACTACAGAACAAAGCTTTGCTACGAGTGGGCTTCTGCACTGTGTAATGAAGCCATGTTAATCGACTACATGTGTAAAATGAGACTTCAATCAGGCTGCAGGTCCCATTGGCCTAACACCCATAAGAATGCGCTGTTGCTGGTATGAGAGCAAACTGATCAAGCCAAATCCATATTTGGACTTGACCAAATACCCATTTTGGTGTGTTTTCTCCCGTACTTGTGGAATTAAGGTCATTTTAAATGTAAACAAACTGCTCCAAAACACTGTACTGGGGAGAAAACATCAGAGGAGAAATGGAACAGCCTTCTGAACAGTCTGGAACACATGGACGCGTTTAGCTAGAACTTTCTCTCTCTCCTTTTTCAGTGGTGCTCTGGGGAAGGCAGAAGAGTAGGAATAGGAAAGAAACCACACTTGAACACGACGTCAAAGAAAATAAATGCTTCTGTACCCCCTTCTGCTGAATGGCTACGATGCCTACGTTTCTCTTTTCTCTTTTCATCTTTTCTGTGATGAGCTTTTTCTTTCCGAGACATTTGCTGGGGTGGTTTGATGGCCAAAGAATCATCTTCTTCTCCTCTGAAATAAAACACAATAGCACCACATCATGCTTGAGAAAGTGGTAAGATGCATCAGGTTTCTCCAACCCAGAAAAATGCAAGATTCAACTAAGAATGAAGCTGAAACATCATTTAAAAAATTACATGAAGCCAGGTGAGGTGGCTCACGCCTGTAATCCCTACACTTTGGAAGGCTGAGGCAGGCGGATCACGAGGTCAGGGATTCGAGACCAGCCTGACCAACATATTGAAACCTGGTCTCTATTTAAAAATACAAAAATTAGCCAGGCGAGGTGGTGCACACCTGTAATCCCAGCTACTTGGGAAGCTGAGGCAGGAGAATTCCTCGAACCTGGGAGGCAGAGGTTGCGGGGAGGCAGAGGTTGCGGTAAGCCAAGAGCACGCCATTTCACTCCAGCCTGGGCAACAGAGCGAGACTCCATCTCAAAAAA